CCACCTGGGAGGAGCCTTTTGCACACACCCTTTCCTCACATGGAATCTAGTACGCCATCAGAAAATGGAAGAAGGTGGACTTGTAAAAGGGTAAAAGAGTATTGGGAATGATCCACAATGTAGTGCTTTTTTTCTGGGGGGTACACATACCCCTAAACATTTTGTGAATCTTTGTACTTTTGTCCATCTACTGTATTTATTTTCCCCGATTTGAACTATAAAATGGTGATTTTCTTGAGTCAAAATGAGAGTACCCCTAAACATTTTTTTAAGAAAAAAAGCACTACCGTAATGAATTGAAAAAAAAAGTTTAAAAGTACGTTCCCAAAAAACCCAGAGTCTTTTCTGTTGGGGATAACTCAGACAGAAATTCCCAGGTGTCAAAAAAGGTTATTTTTGTATGCCACTACTGCAGCCCATGTTTTCTTAGCCCCCAAATGGAAAATGAGAAGGTCCCAACTGAAGAAGAAGAAGAAGAGTTTGGATTTGATATCCCGCCTTTCACTCCCTTTAAGGAGTCTCAAAGCGGCTAACATTCTCCTTTCCCTTCCTCCCCCACAACAAACACTCTGTGAGGTGAGTGGGGCTGAGAGACCTCTGAGAAGTGTGACTAGCCCAAGGTCACCCAGCAGCTGCATGTGGAGGAGCGGAGACGCGAACCCGGTTCCCCAGATTACGAGACTACCGCTCTTAACCACTACACCATACTGACAACTTAAACTGATGGAATATGCGCAACTTGCGGACCTAATTTATAGAACAAGATAACAAGAAGAACATATGTTTAAAGAAGATTGAAAAATGTTTATTGAATATATGGGGGGAATTGTGTACAGCTGAAAACATTGGCAGCATTAAGATAAATTCAGTACTGTAAATAATAATAATAATAATAATAATAATAATAATAATAATAATAAATTCATTTATACCCCACCCTCTCCAGCCAAGACCGGGCTCAGGGCAGCTAACAACCAATAATAAAAACAAGTTGATTATTAGAACAGGCTCCTATGTATTATTACAGGATAGTGGATCTTATAGCATAGTAGTGGTTGCAGTAAGCTTACTGTTCTACTGATGAAGCCTAGGATGGCGAAACAAGGCTAATAATAATCCTTGTCTTAGACTCTGTGAAAGGATTCTGTGGAACTGTAACAACCCTTCATGTGGATTATTGGACTCTTTCAACAGACAGGTGGAATAGATACTTATACATGTATGGACCTTATGCATGAACTGACTAGAGAATGAACTGATCCACCGGGTCTTCTGCTTTCTTCGTTGAACTTTATGAGACTTCTGTTGAAATCTACAAATAGATACAATGAATAGTATACCTTATTTATTCAAAAGTACAGCCGGTTACGGTTTGTGCTTTTATTGAGTATGTTCCACGTAACCATAGCTTTGTTGTTTTTGGTTGGCAAATGGCGCCACTCCTATTGCGTGTTGAGTCCCACAATGCCACCCCCCCAAAAAAAATTCACACATCACACATCAATTTTTGTTTAAGGTTTTTGGCATAATTTTGGCCACAACTTTATTCAAAATACAAAAAATGTGAGTGGTTGCTTAGGCATTGGTTATGACTATCTGTCCTTGCCCCAGGGACAGAACTGACTTCCGGATTCCAACGGAAGCCAGCGTGGGAAACAAGTATTGGGTGAGAAAATGAAGCTGGGCATCAGTCCCTCACTTCTTACCCTCATGTTCCTGTGGGGCTTGCACGGCCCAAGTCCGATGTCAGGGACAAGGACGAAAAGAATGGCAAGCCCCTGGATTCCTTTAACGGAATTCCCTTTCCGCACCACCATTGGAGGGGTAGGCACTTACCCCTCCACCAACCATTTTAACCAATGCCTAACCGCCATGGAGCCCTAAGCTCACCACCAAACCACACACAGACCCAGCCAAGCCTTCAGCTTAGCCACCACCGCACCCAGCCAAGCCTCATTCCCTAAGGCAGAAAGGCACACGCCATCATCTCTGAAAAAGGATTCAGCATGAAAAAGAATCTCAGGATGGGAAATCACATCTCCACCCAGCTCAAAAATCTTTTTAGACACAGCAGAATTGATACGTTTTCTGGCCCTTTCAGTGGCAGCTGGGCAACGACTACCTCTCCAAACGCGTCATTGCAAAAGCTTTGACCAAGGTTTTTTTTTGCTGTCGGCACCATTGCCCGCAGCACCTCTAGGTCGCCCAAAATTGCAACACGTAATGAAAAACAGTCCATGGAAGCCAGGTCGTTCTCACCCAGCTGCACCACGATAGCTGAGGGCGGCCCTTCCAAAAGCATCTGCCTCCGAATCAGCGGCAGGAACTCTGGCCAGCGCATTCCCCGTCTGGACAGCCAAGACAAGTGCACATGTGGAGGAAGGCCGAGACCTGGTCCCAATCCGGACTGCCGTGCTCCGATGCCAGCCCAATGCATGATGTTGTGCCCCACCATCCAGATGCGGACAGCTGCTAGACCTGAGATAAAACAAGCAAAAAAGATGTAAGATACCAAAATTGTTAACGAGCATAACCTCTGAACGCATTTGATTTCCAGCGACCCAAATCCTTTATTCTGGCGGCTGACAGGCCCCAGTGCACTGCCGTCGTGGCAGCCCCAATCCTAAAGGAATGGGGGGCAAAACCAGAAGCCGAATCGCCACAAGCCAGGATCGCCTTCCGCATCACCATTGCAAACTGGTGCCATGACAGGGGCAACCCATTCTCATGCCTCAACAGAGGACCATCCCCTGGGGGGCGGGCGGCCAGGTACTTCCTGACATCTTTGACAGGGCAAGGGCCTGCCTCCCCCGTAGCAGGGAGACGAATAAGGGCTCCCCTACCCATCTGATCCGTTTTTGAGTTCCTAATTGTGAGTCTCAGCTCCGCAGGGGATAACTGTACATCCTGGAGCAATAGGCCCCTAGAACGACCGTCCCTGTAAGCCTCCAGCACACGAGCTCACCCACTCTCAAAGCTCCAAAGAAGGCAATAGAAAAGGCTGCCGAAAAAAGGCGAGCCTCATACCTGGACCAGCACACATTCCGCAACTTTTTGCGCATCCTGCACAACAAGTTGAATGAGATCGGGAGCAGGGTTGCTGGCCGGGGAGGACAAAGTCTACCCCAACCTTCAAGGGCCTTACGCACGACAAACTTCTCGCAAGGATCTTTGTCAAAAAACGATTTACAGAAAAATGCTATGGCAGCTGCTTGAATCCTGATTGTCTTAGCTGCACGTCCCAACTGAAACAGGTGCGCCAAATATCTTAGCACCTGAGAAGTGGAGGGCAGGGCCCTCCTTTCCTCACTGGCCAACTGACGCGTAAAGGCCAAAAAATCAGTCCAAGCTTTAGTGTACGACCTGAGGGTAGAAGGGGAAATAGATGCCGCTACTCCCTGCAAAACTAATTGCTGCCAAGGTTCCAGAGATGATCCGGGAAATATTCCAGATGTTTCCGAGCCTCTGGAACCAGAAGTTTGAACCGCTCCATCTGAAAACGGGACAGAGCATCAGCAATTTCGTTAGATACCCCAGGAATGAAACGTGCAGAAAACACTATATTATAATGTAAACAATGTAAAACAAAGGCCCGCAAAAGGGCTGACACCCTAGGAGAGCGTGACGACAGCTTGGCCAGCACGGTCACCACCGCCTGGTTATCGGTCCAGAAGCAAACCTGAACTCATCGACCCACAAGTGCACTGCCACTGCAATGGGAAAAACTCAAGAAAAGTTAGGTCCCGCGTAATGGCTTCTCCCTGCCATGCGGGCGGCCAACACATGGTGCACCATCTGCCTTTCCAATATAGACCAAAGCCCAGGGAACCTGCAGCATCTGATTGCACCTGGAAGTCATTATGTAAGTTCAACGTGTCTTGCCATAACGATACTCCATTGAATTCCTCCAGGAATTCAAGCCAAATGCAAAGATCAGCCTTCACCTCACTGGAGAGGCGGACTCGATGATGTGGGGCCCTCAACCCCGCAGTGAGTTGAGCCAGGCGTGAACAGAAAGGGCGCCCAGGGGCCACCACCCTGCACACGAAATTCAGGTGTCCTAATAGCGACTGGAGTTGCCTTAGGGACACCTTCTTCAAAGGGAGCAATTCCTCTCTGACTTTCTTCAAGGCAACCAGCTTATCTTTTGGCAAGCTGGACGTTTGGGAAACCGTATCCAAAAGGATACCTAGGTAAGTCAGCTGGGTCGAAGGACCCTCAGTCTTTTCCGCTGCGAGCGGAACCCCCAGTTCTTGCATGAGGTCAGCGAAGGCGTGCAGCAACACCGAGCAATTGCCGGTATCACAAGCCGAGGCCAATAAAAAATGATCCAAATAATGCATGACTCCGCCCAGTCCGGTTTTAAGTTTGATGGTCCACTCCAAAAACGTGCTGAAAGATTCAAAAGCGGCACACGCTATTGAACAGCCCATAGGCATGGCTTTGTCAAAGTAATATTTGCCCTCAAACTGGAAGCCTAGCAGCCAAAAATCCTCCGGATGAATTGGCAGCAAACGAAATGCCGATTCAACATCGCATTTTGCCAATAAGGCAGCGTGGCCGAACTTCCGAATCATCTTGATCGCATGATCAAGAGAGGCATACTTTACAGAGCAAAGCTCTGGAGGAATGACATCATTGACTGAGGTGCCCCTAGGGTGCGATAAATTATGAATCAAATGAAATTCACCTGGGGCCTTCTTCGGCACGATACCCAGTGGGGATACATACAAATTATGAAAGGGGGGGCACTGAAAGGACCAGCCATACGATGCATAGCCACCTCCTTTGCAATCTTTTTCCGGGCGATCTCAGGTGGCTCCCGAACTGATTTCTGGTTAGAAGGATTCCGTGCCACGGGAGGCATGGCTACCGGAATCCGAAAACCAACAGAAAAACCATTACTCAAATAACGTGCAGCATCCCTATTGGGGTAAGACTGCAACCAAACTTGGAGGGCCGGCAAACGAACAGGACTATGAGCCAAGGAGGTCAATACACTATTTTCCTGTTCCTGAGGTTGAAGGGAGGGGGGCTGACTTGGGGGGTTGATGAGAAGCCCCTCTTCCCCCACGAAAGGGCCGCCAACCGCCAAAACAAGAGGAAGCAGAATGCAATCCATTGCATTTTTTGCACATGTGAGCATATTTGCACATTTGGCGCTGGCAGGAGCTCTTATTAAAATCCCAGCATAGCAAACGACGGCCAGCTCTAAAAGCCAAAGTCCTCGACTTCTGTTGCTCCGGCACCTTTTTATCAATGAGTGGGGCCACGTGGGTGCTCCACACATCGAGATCCTTGCGATCCCAGCGGGCCGAAGGGATCCTGGCAGCGCGGCGCCTGAAGTTCTCATCATATTTGATCACAGCTTTTTCACCAGCTTTGGTGAATGCAGAGCAAACGATGGATAGATAAACTATCAAATGAAGGAATCTCCATGGGTAAGCTGCTGTAACCACACCAGCGAAGACCTGGAAACAATCGAGCCAATGTTCGAATGTCCTGTCCTCAGTGGAGGCCCCAGGGCGTTTTTTGGAGGAAGAACTTCCCTTCTCCTGTTCCTCCGAAGGTGGGACCAATTTGAACATGTCTACATAGCGGCCGTTTAAAATTCTGGACCGCAGCTTTGCCGACAAATGCGAACCTGGTATGATATCCCTGGCAGAATTGGTTGAGATTTTAACGTCAGGGACCAACACACTGTCCCTACACTCTTGGACAGCCTCATACTTTGCCCGGTGTGTGTTGGCCCTTCGTTCCCAAGCCCACCGCGGGAGCCCCGAAGCCGATTCTCCAAAACCCCAGTAAAGTTCCATTGAATTACACGCCTCTTCATCAGAACTAGAAGATGACATACCAGTATAAGAGGAAGATGTGTCGTCCTTCCTCCACTTGGCATGCTTCTGGGAAGACCTCCTGTGGCGACGCTTCCCACCCGAAGACTTCCTGGCAGGGACTGGAAGACTGTCTTCAATAGAAGACTCGGAATCAAGATTCGGCTGAGATGGAACTGGAACAGACTGCGGAGAGACAACAGGTGAGAGGCCAGAACCTGACGCCACTTCAGCCGGGGGCTGAGCGGGCGTACGCCGGCGAGTGGAGGCTGCCGAAGGGCCCCTTCTCCCTGAGGCCCTCCTGGTGGAACGACCAGACCTCCGTGAATGGCCCCGAACAGCAGGTAAGTCGGGGGACTGGGCTAACTGGGGGTCCACGATCAAACGCCCCGATGATGACCCATCTCTCCCATCTTCACTAGATGACGGTGAAACCGGAGACGACATCATTGCTGAAGGAGGCGGCCTTCCAGATGCGAACGGCTGGGTGGAGCAATGTTGAAGGAAACCATCCATTTCAGCCGCGAAGCGAGATAGGGCTGCTGGATCACCGGCCATACTCGCCACCAAGGATTGCACCCGCCCCACTGGTTGGCTTGGGGTGGGTGAGTGAAGCGCCTGGGATGGGCCTCTAATAGGCCGTTTTGAGGCAGCGGCTGGGCCAGGGCGGGCGGCGACTTTCTTCGGAGCCATACCTGCTAGTTAGGAATAAGATCAGAGTCAAATATAGCTCTACAAGATCGCCGCAACCAATAAACGGCTATCAAACTTCAGAGGAAATTAGCGACTGCTGGCCAGTCACCATCAAATGCAGAAACACCACTGCTGCCCTATCAGCACCTTCTCTGAAGAAAATAAAGTAATAAATTAAAATAAAATTGTCTATGTGTAGTAATTACTTGAGATAAAATAAAATATCACCTTGATTTAAAATCCAGAGTAATAATGAGCAAGCAAGTATCTATCTATCTATCTATCTATCTATCTATCTATCTATCTATCTGTTTTATAAAGTGTAAAGCACCGTGCACCTCCTCAGGCCGGCCAGCAGGGGCCCCCCGGCTGGCTCAAGCTCAATGGGAGGAGGCGCAATACCGGGCTAAGCCACCGGGGGGAACAGAGGACTCTGTAAATAGAATCAATTACAATTTAAATAAACTTAAAGCAATATAAAATCCACCACTAACTCCTAACTGGAGCTAGTTAAATATAACCAGCTATCTATAGGTAATATAGGGAGGATGCAGTACCCTGGTCAGCCAGCAGGGGTCCCAGTTGGCCCAACCAAGCAAAAAAGGGGGGAGGCGCAGTACCACACTGAGCCACTGGGGGAGCTCAAATGCAGCCAAGGCGCAATAGCTCCAAACGGCCACTAGAGGGCCAGCAGGCAGCAATAAAACACAGGCAGGCACTCTCCCAGCTACGCCACATGCAAATTCAAAATGGAGGGCCCCCAACGATTGTGCAGCAAAATTCCCGCCGAGGGAAGGTACAGGCCGCGCCGGAAGGACTCGGAGGCCCGTGCAGGCCTTGTGTGCGCTGCTGCGAATGGCGGACAGCGCCGACGCTCCGGGAAGGCTCGTAGGAGCCAAAGGAAAGGCAGGCGCCGGCCACGCCCCCGCAAATGCACAAAAAATTCCCCCAGATGCACCGGGAAGGAGGAACCGCGGCAACGGCCCCCAGCTAAAGCCGGGGCCTAGCGATTATGCCCACAGCAACGGGGCGTCCCAGGTAAGCAACCCCGCCGTGCGGTGGTGGGCGGGGAAGGGAGCCCGGCAGCGCTTCGCGGCTGCGGAGCCGCGAATCTACACCAAGGGGATGCGGGGCGCTCCCGCGGCCTGAATAGGGGCGGCTGCAAGCCTCTCCCTCCTCAATCAACAGCCGGGGCCTCCGGTCCAACGGAGCCGGGCCCACAGGCAGCCGGGGAGGCAAAGCCTCCCATGGCTGGGGGGGGGGAATCCCCACCCTCAGCCTAGTTTTTCCTTCAACTGAGAGGTAAATTAAGGAAATATAGTACCGGGTGGAGAAACAGGCGGGATAGTCAAGGAAGGGAGGGGAAGGCAAGGCAAGGGGGAAGGAAGGAATAAAAGAGGGGAAAGAACGGAAGCAACTGATGTTAAAGAAAGAGGTGGATTTGCCCTGCCAGACCTAAAACTCTACTATGAATCAGCTGCTTTTTGTTGGCTGAGAGAATGGCTGCTACTTGAAAACACTGATGTGTTGGACTTAGAAGGTTTCAATAATGCATTTGGTTGGCATGCATATTTGTGGTACGATAAGGTAAAAGTACATAAAGCGTTTAAAAATCATATTGTTAGAAAAGCATTGTTTAATGTATGGATAAGATATAAAGATTTGTTAGAAAAGAAAACCCCAAGGTGGTTGTCACCAATGGAAGCGAAGGCACAGAAAAAACTCAATATGGAGGCCAAATGGCCAAAATATTGGGAAATTCTGGAACAAGAGGGAGACAGACTAAAATTGCAGAGCTTTGAAAAATTGAAAAATAAAGTGCGAGATTGGCTCCATTACTACCAAATAATGGAGGCATATAATTTGGACAAAAAAGTTGGTTTCCAGGTGGAAAAATCAAAATTGGAAACAGAATTGCTAGATTCCAAAATTAAGAATTTGTCAAAACTGTACAACTTGCTATTGAAATGGAACACTCAGGATGAAACGGTGAAATCAGCTATGATTAAATGGGCACAAGATGTTGGACATAATATAATGATGGCTGACTGGGAACAGTTATGGACCACAGGTATGAAATTTACAGCATGTAATGCCCTAAGAGAAAACTTAATGAAAATGATTTATAGGTGGTACATGACACCAGTCAAGCTTGCAAAAATTTACCATTTGCCTGAAAATAAATGTTGGAAATGTAATGAGACTGAAGGCACATTTTTTCACCTTTGGTGGACATGCCCAAGGATTAAGACATTCTGGGAGATGATTTATAATGAAATGAAAAAGGTATTTAAATATACCATCCTGAAGAAACCAGAGACCTTTCTCCTGGGCATGGTCGGCCAATTGGTGTTAAAGAAGGATAGAACTTTTTTTATGTATGCAACAACAGCAGCAAGAATACTCATTGCGAAGTATTGGAAGACACAAGATTTGCCCACCCGGGAAGAATGGCAGATGAAGTTGATGGACTACATGGAACTGGCGGAAATGACTGGCAGAATCCGAGACCAGGGAGAAGAGTCGGTGGAAGAAGATTGGAAAAAGTTTAAAGACTATCTACAGAAATATTGTAAAACTAATGAATGTTAGAAAAATGTTGAAATGAAGTTATATGGCTTTAGTAGAAATATTATAAGGAATTAAGTACAGATAGGTTAATAGAGCATTAAAGGAAAAAATAAGGTTAGAATGAGTTAGGATAATTATAGGATAGAAAACAAGGAAGATGGAAAGGAATTGCTGAAATAATTAACAGAAGTGTAATACAAAAAGGGAGGTGTGAGGAGGTTGTGGAAATAAGTGAATGAAAGATGGGATAATGAAATTGTTGGATTTATTTTATTGTCTTTGTCTTGTTTTGTTAATTTGATGTGTTGTATTGTATTGTTTTTTTCTTTTTAGTGTTTAAGTTTTTGGAAAAATAATAAATATTATTTTTAAAAAAAAGAAAAAAAGAACGGAAGGAAAGGAAGAGGGCCTAAGCGACAAGAAAGTAGGATTTAAAATTAGCAAGGCTCAATATACAACCATCTCCAGGCACAGACTGCTCCTTGATCCAGTGCAAAAAAGCCAAGAGAATGCCCAGCGTTGGGTGTCCTGTATTTAAGGACTCTGACTCCCTCCTCCAAATTGGCAACATTCAAAACTCCCCAGCAACCCAAATTAACCACTTATGGCTTGGGTTTATCCAAATCTGCCCAGCAACACAGGGTGGCTTGTATCCCCCAACCGCAACACGTGCTCTCTGTTTAGGGAGAACACGTTTTTGCAAACTGCTATTCCAAAATTCGAACCAAAGTTACCGTGCACTGTAACCACCAGGTAAAAACGGTGCTTTGTTTTTCGTTTGTTTGTTTCTAAAACCGGCTCTCAATATTAATTGCACCATTTCTTCTCAGTGGTTGTCTCTGACTGTTAAAACTGTTAAATACCATTTTATTGCAATGTGAGCAGGAATGTCACATAGTATTAAAATCTCATATGCGGTTTATTGGTGGATTTCAACCCGTTACCAAAGGCTGCTTTGATTTAGTAGATCTCTCCCATTGTTAACTACATTTATCCCATAGGAGATAATACGGAGCTCTATTAAGGAATGCAGTTACTTACATGTACATATTGTACTAAGCATCACATATAAATTATATATACTAGCTGTTATGCAGGATGTGCTTTCGGCGAAGTAAGAAATCAGTTCTCAAGAAATCTTAATAAACATTAATTTATTTTAATGAAAACATATTTGCCTTTGATTTCTCTGCGCTCTGCAGCAAATAAAAACGAGTTACTTGAAAATGCATCTTACAGTGGGAAATGCTCTGTTCGGAAGATTTATTCTGGCTTCACCAAGTGGAGAACTGGTGCTGTGTTTTCAGGCTGCTTAATGTTTGCCTCTGATTGAAAGCATAATTCTGGAATCCCAGTAAATAGGGAAGATGGACTGTGTCTTTAGTAAAAGGAGAACCTAGCCTGCAAAATTCAGTGAAGTGGTTTTTGTTTCCCTGGTACCAATATGAGCCTGGGCATAGCAATGGTCAAAATATGCATGGAAGAGATAGGCCTAGGGTATTTCTAGATTACACATTTAAATGAGTTAGTACTTTATTGGCTATGTTCATATCTATTTTTCTCTATTATGATAATATTGCAAGTGTTTTTAGAATCCTGCTGATGTATTTACTTGTATACAATGCTTTGTCAATATATGCAATAAAAGTTTCCCATTCATTTTTAAATTTGTTACCATCCTGATAACATTCTGAGTCTACCAGTTAGTTTGGCCCTCTCTGCATATTCCATTAACTTAATTTGTCAATCTTTTTTTTGTTTATGATTTGGACATGCACAATTGAACAATGTAGTAATGGAACCAGGGAGGGGGTAGAGAGAAGTCGGGGGATTGGAGAAATCCCATATTTTGGTACTGTGTTGCATGTACAAATATTATGAAAAATGATACAGTTGCTCAAATTTTTATTTCTTATTTCTTAACGTTTATTGTTATAAGATGTTTGTTATATTGAAAACCAGTAAAAATATTATTTAAAAAGTAGTTTATTGGCCACAGGGGTGCCAACCAGAATAAAATATTTGGGGGGCCCCAGGTAAGCCCCACCCCACATAATCAATCACGTGATGGGGGCACACCCACACAATTTAAATAGTGGGGGCCATCCCAGTTGGACCAGAAGAGTAAGCTGCCAGAAACAATCAGAGAACAACTGCATTCAGAACAGATACATCTCTCTCTCTCTCTCTCTCTCTCTCTCTCTCTCTCTCTCTCTCACACACACACACACACACACACACACTTTATTTCCCTCCTTCCCTGTCCTCTGATGGTATAATATTTCCAGCATATATAAAAGTAGCACACATGACTTCAGCTACTATTTTGACTTAATGAAGAGCTTAATAAAAATCGGCATTCATAGCTCCTGTGTAGACCGATAAATTAGCTAATGGAAAAACTAAGTCCTTATGTATTATGCAAAAGATTAGT